TTTTTTTTTTTTTTTTTTTTTTTTTTGGCTGCCTTGTCCTCATCGGGGGACAGCCATATATTTTTCTCTCACCTCACATATCTTTCAACTGGCGTTCTGCCATGTCATGGAACACATCTTTATTTCAAGACCTATCTGTCTCTTATACACATCTAGATGTGTATAAGAGACAGGGCCAAACTTGGTGTATGGCGAGTAGTGCAACTAGGCCCTAAAGGGGGGCAAACTGTCGAATGGAGGCTGTCGAATTTGTTCTTTTTTTTTTTTTTTTTTTTTTTGCTGCCTTGTCCTCATCGGGGGACAGCCATATATTTTTCTCTCACCTCACATATCTTTCTTTTAACTGGCGTTCTGCCATGTCATGAAACATATCTTTCTTTTCACTACCTACCACTACTCCTAAGGCTATACGGGGGACCCCTGCAAGCATAGCTAGGCTATACAGGGGACCCCTGCAAGCATAGCTTTCTACATCTCTTCGAGTGAAGGGAGGTTACCTCTCTCGGTCGTTGGAGAGGGGTAAGGGCATGTTTGCCCCTTGCCCTAGCGTTTTAGGGTGCAGGGTTGGGGCCGCCGGTGGGGCCCCGGCTAACACAAGGACCGAGCATGCCTGTAACTGTGCCTCCCTATTCATCTTCCCCCACGGTGACCCCCATCGAGTAACAGTAGTGTCTAAAGCCAACACTCTCCCACACACCACACTCAACCCACTCACACACGCACTCACACCCGTGTTGGCTGAAGACCTTTCCTTTTTTTTTTTTTTTTTTTTTTTGGGGGGGGAAACTGAAGACCTTTCTGAGAGCCGTGGAATATTTTTGCCTTTCCACTGTGGTGTATCTTGGGTGTGTGGTACAATGGTGGATTTGGGTGCGGTGGCATTTTTCAATACAGTGTTATTTGCTGTGATTACTGCGGTTTTGGTCTCTGTTTTTCTGCTCTCTCTAGGGCTGCAGAACGCACGTTGACTGTATCAGAACCGGAAGATTAGTTATATACATAGGGTACCTTGTATTCGAGGGAAGACGACAAGCGTGGAAATGCTATTAGTTATTGAAAAAAAAAAAAAAAAAAAAAAAAAAAAAGGCGCAGTCAAAATACATAGACGGGGGAATGGGAAGACAAAGGCGCTGTTGATTCTTAGGGCATGGTCACACTAGGACTTTCAAAATGTATGTATGTGATAGTAAAGTGAGTCCGCATGCAGTCGGAAAAGTCCAAGTCTAGGACTTTCAAAATGTATGTATCTGATCGTCATGTGAGTCCGCATGCAGTCGGAAAAGTCCAAGTGAAGAGTATGCCCGTAGTCGTATATTTCCACGACACTGTTTACTGTTAGACATACTCGCACTAACCGTAGAACTTCCCAGGATGTATCTAACCGTATTTACGTCCACATCCAGTCGCAAAAGGTAGTACGTAGTTCGAGTATGTCCTTCCTTGACCACCTCAGAGGTGATGACAACTGACTCCCAAAAAAAGATAACTAATTAAAAAAAAAAAAAAAAAAAAAAGATAACTAATTCACCCATTGCTGACTCGCACTGGGAGTTCATTAACTGCATCTGGCCGAAATTCCGACCGAGATTCATTCAAGAAAAACCCTACTGAGATTGTGCCTGCCCATGACTTCTTCAGCTCTTGCACTGATCACCTTTTTTTTTTTTTTTTTTCCCGAACGTCGGTGAATACGTGTACACAACAGCTGTCGAAAACTGACGTGGCATGATCGTCAAACGTTGATTGAATTTTTTTTTATTTTTTTTTTTTAAAGGCTAATTCTTTAAGCCCAACCAATTCAATTACCTGTCGAATCTGGACAGGCCTTTTTTTATTGTCATTATAGTTTGTTTGTTACTTTTACAAGGAAAAGGTAGTTATTATTAGCAGAACAAAA